TACAGTTTGTGTATTTCATTTTATTTATTTTTTATTATTATGTATACTAAGTATTTATACAAATTTTGCAATTTCAACTATAATCCAAATTTTCTTATGTTATTTGCTTGACAATAAGCTAAAAAGTTTTAATTATTATTTGCTCGACAATAAGTTAATAAATTTCTGATTTATTTTTAGCCCATTTAAACGATATTTTGCACTCGTTATTTAACTCTTTAATTTCAGCTCTAAGTGTAAATTCTCTGACATATTTTTCCATCAATTTGTGTGCTACTTTTTATGTGAAGCTGGCGGCAATTAATGATATGGCCACAAAGTCACAGCCGCATCAAATGACTTGCACTCGAAACGCATCCCAAATGCACCTACACTCACACACACAGTGCTCCCAAGCCCACGCACACATGCACATATCTATGTGGCTGCACACAGATAGAACCCAACCCCTGCTGGCAGCACTCAACAGCCAACCAATGCATGGGAAATGCATTGCCCCTGCCACCGTGCCTCCTCGCACAAACCAAAGTCAAAAAGTGCGTAGCCCGACCGACCAACTACACATACACACACACAGCCATACACAGACGCACAGCGAGTTGGGCAGAAAACGGAGAATGCGTTGAGCTGATTGGTGGAAAGCAAAAGGACGAGAAAAAAACTCTAACACATAACGGTCGCTGCATGAGAGAGGCGGGCGAGAGGGGCAGAGCTGCTGCAACTGGATGCTGGGTGGGATGTCGACCACAACAATACAAAAGTCAAATTAGTGGAAAATGCAAATGCGAATAAAAAACGCAAAGCGAATGCCGCAAAAAACGGCACTAGAAAATATAGACATAGCTGCCTTATATACTCACAGCAATAGATAGACAGAGAGCGGAATAAAGAATGACCAAAAGACAATCGAATGACAGAAAGAGACAGAGGCAGAAAGAGAGAGAGAGACTGAGAGAGAATGTGAAATAACGGCAACGAGGCATTTTCCAAAGTGTTGGCACAAAAAATTATATTATAATTACACAGCGCAGCGTTGGAAACTGGTTTTCAGGCAACCAGAAAAGACAAAAAGTGTAGCCTGATTTTAGGCGCTAAGCGTGCGAGTTTTTTGCACCCTTTGTCACTCGCACAAAGTCAAGTTTTGTATTTTTTGTAGCTCGTCCACATATTTAGGCATTATACAAAGCTCTTTTATTTCCCACGTCATTCTCTCCATTAATTGCTTTATATTTTGCTCGATTTTTGCGTGTTACCAACTGTGGGAATTCCCTGCACAAGGGAACGCCGCCCAGCTGGTCTTTCATATAGTTCTTGTATTTTTAGCATACCCATTGTTAGTCGAAGAGCAAATATAGGGAGTTTTGAGGCAATCGAAAGAGTTTATAGCTGAGATAGCTCTCTTTTGGATTCCTAGGCCACGTTAATTTAATGACTGCGATTCGTCGACTTTTTACTTTTAAACTCTGCTTAAACTTAGTATTATTATCAAAATATTCTATCTTGCCTTGATTAAAAGAATATATACTAATATATATTGATCAAATTGCAGTGAAATTATTTTAAAAATGAAAAACTAAGCTCTGGATTCAAAGCACTTCAAAATCAATTATGGAGCATCTTCCAGTCGGATACTTCCAACTAGTTGTTCTCATTCTTTTACTGTCCTCTAGGCAAATATTGTTCTGACAACTTATGCATGTAAAAAGTTAATTAAATATAAACACAAAATGTGTTTTCCAAGCATAATATATTTAATACGCATATTAAATAATGCTAAATTAAAGACGAAACTATACTTAAACTACAAACATATATTTAATAAAATTAAATTAACCCCTAAGCTAAGCTAAAAATACATCATTTCTTTATTTTATCAGGCAAAAATACACAAAAAATATATATTTATTTTTGTATTCTTCATTATTATAATTATTATTGTAAATTTAATTTTAAAACAGATATATTGCCCAATAGAAAAGGCAAAAATCCACAATAGGGTTCGTTGGCTCAGCTTTATAGAATTTGTTTACACTTTTGTTTTCATATTGCGAACTCGGTGTCTGATGCATTACAGTTTGTTTTATCAAGTTATTTGTTTAACTTTCTTGTTTTACGCATTGATAAGAAGGTAATTAAGTCGCACATTGTTAATGTCAATTTAAATCTGTTTAAACAAAACGCCTCTACGTTGACGTTTCTATCTCTCTCTCTCTCTCTCTCGCTCTTTCTCTCTCTCTCTCTTTCTCTCTCTCTCTCTCTGCCTCATTTTCCCTTTCTCTTTCTATCTCACTCTCGCTCTCCGTCTATATTTCAGTCTCTCACTCAATGTATGTGTTCTCTATCTTTTTTATGTCATTTTTAAATATTTACTTTTTAATTAGAATTCATTATTTAAATTGCCTATTTGTTTTTGTCACGAAGCTTATCTTAATCGCGTTTTCTCGGTAGTTTTTCTTACAGTAGCTCCAATAGGTATTTAAGCTTTGAATTGTCATGCAAATAGCTATTTTAAGGGTTATGCAATCAGTCAAGATTTTCAAATTAAAATAAAATATTTTAATGCAATTGTAATTAATATAAAATATTTTTA